AGAAGAGCTCTATGGCCAAATGAAAACCGGCCCCTACGGCGGATCTGATGCTTATCTAAGCACCCCATCCCTTCAAGAAAGATTAGTGGGGGCCTTTTCTTTCCCAGCCCAGCCTGTATGGACCCAAGGATGGCTGGCCTTTCGGAAACCCTGGATTCCTTCTCCCTGGCTGCCCTGGGCTGGGGCAGCCAAATCCAGTTTGGATCCCTTCAGGTGTACACACTGAAATGGGTGCGTGGAGGTGCGTGGGTCTGCCAGCCAGGACATCACCTTTGCTTCTTTCTCTTCAGAAGAGGGCACAGAGGTTGATGAAAGTGTAAGGTGGGGGGAGGGGAGGGGAAGAGAGGGTAAGAAAGGAAGTGTGTCCAAGTCGACCTGTTTGAGAGAAGTCAACCCAGGGTCACATTGCTCTTGGAAAGAGTCCTCCTCCCCTTGTGGAATAATGAGCCTCCCACATGTACCAGCTCCACCCAGAATCCACTTCACCAGGGACCTTTGTGCCAAAGAAAGAGGCCAAAGGCGGGACAGGACGTGCAATTATAAAAAAAAAAACCCAAAATACATCGAGTGGGAAGTCTTTTTCCCACGACTGAAGGTCCCCGAGGGGCGCTCTGTTCTTTGCCCCTGCTCCTCCAACTGTCCCCCCACCCCCGCCCCGACTCATCCAAAATTCCTAGCAGGCTGAAAATGAGTTCACTGACCGAGTTTCTATCTGCTGCTCTGTGACAAGAAAAATGGAAAAATACCAGGGTATTTCAAAGAAATCAGAACACAGCCACAGCCATGGAAGACAGCATGTACTGTCTGAGCCAGCCATTCAGCCTTTAGAGATCAACAGAGGGCGTGGAGAGGAGAAACGTGGGCCAAATCCACAGCATGTTCCAGCCTCCGCCATCCATCCTGGTTATTTACTGCGACTAAGTGCCTGCTGTGTCTGGATACCACAGGAGTGGACAGAAACACACTGCCCGTGCAATGGGCTGACAGGAGGGCTCTGTGACCGGGCATCCTGCTTCACTTGGGATCCGGATGAAGCCAAGTCTCCCAGAGCAAATCCCACTGAGAATGGTAGGCAGAAGAGTCCCATGTCCTGTTTCCTGTGACTATGAAGTGGGAAGCATGGCTCAGGGGAACAGCCACATGAACAGAAGCCAAAGTTAAGGATTATGAGACGGGGAAAGAAGCCAGGACTATCCCAGTGGGCCCATGGACTCACGAGTCCTTAAAGCAGAAGAGCCAGGGCAAAGAAGGGGTCAACGCAAGTTGGGCCCTGAGAAGGACTCAACTAGCCGCTGCCAGCTGTGAAGGTAGAGGGAGGGGCTATATGAATCGAGGGATGTGGCAGCGAAACCAGGACATTATTCCTGCACCCTCAACAAGTGGCATTCTGCCAGCAGCCCAAATAAGCAGGGATCCCTGGGTGGCCCAAACAACTGTCTACTAACTGAAGGTTGGTGGTTCAAAGCCACTCTGAGGCACCTCGGAAGAAAGACCTGGTGACTGCTTCCACAGTCACAGCTAGGAAAACCCCGTGGGGCATAGCTCTACTTAGAGACACATGGGCTCGCCAGGAGTCAGAATCAGCGCAAAGGCAACCGGTCTGGTTTGGGTTTGGATTCTCACCTGCCAATCATCTCCACCGGGATTCCAGACCGATAAGATCAGGACCGGCTTCTGACCCACAGAACAGTAAGATGACAAATTTGTTTGGTTTTAAGTCACTAGAAAAAACTCTCACCGCCATAGCGCCAACTCAGACTCGCAGAGAGCCTATGGGACAGGGAAGAATCGCTCCTGTGCTTCCCGAGACTAGAACTGTTTACGGAGGAGCAAGCCTCCTTGGTTAAGGCAGTGAAAGAAAGCGTGTGCTCCTGGACCAGTCACGCTCTCTAACTGGGCCTCCGTCTTCCCATCAGTCATTTGGGGAGGGTGGGCAAGGTGATCTCCAAGGGTCTGGCCAGCTCTCAGAGGCTGACTCTGTTCTCTTGGGATCCTAAGCCCTCCCAAACTCCCCACCTGCCCACTCCAATCCATGCCCCGGCCAGTCCCCAGCTCCAGGGTAGTGTCGGACTGAAGATCCCCTAAAGAAAAGAACAGAACAGAGTGAAGGGAGGAGACAATTCATCTTGGAAAAATGCCCCACGTTGTTTCCTATGGTGCCACGCAGGCCACTGATAAAGAAGGAGCCCCTGTTTTGCCACTTGTTCCTGCCTTCGCATCAGCAGAGGAATGAAGTGGGAAGTGTCTGGGAGAGCGTGATAAAAGCCACCAAGCAGCTGTGCAGCGCACTGAGAAGGGCTGGCAGGCCTCGGAGAGGCTGGGTGCAAAGTCCTGCCTGCCTGAGGCAGGTGTATGCCATCACTGACTGAAACCCAAGTGGAGACCCCAGCTTCTTTTCATGTCTCTCTCCAGGGGCCCCCTCTATTTCATTCTCTCTACATAGTAGGTCATCAGCAATTTATATGCCCAATCAGCCAATCAAAACACAGATCTACAAAGTAAAGCAGCTATTGTTTCCACAAGTTTGCTGTGTTTGCATGTCGCTGCAATGCTAAAAGCTCTGCTACTGGCAGATACCAGTAGGGTCACCCCTGAGAAAGAGGTTTCAGTGGCGCTTCTAGAGCAGGAAGGTCTGGCAACCCCCACCCATAAAAAAATTAGCCAATGAAAATCCTATGGATCGTAACAGATAGGATGCTGGAAGATGAGCTTTGATTCTGTCCTCCAATTGTTTAATAAGACAAATAAATCTAAGTCTCACCTGTTTTATCCCATGTGCGACAACCTACCTCTCAGCCTTTATTCTTGCACATCTAGCGGTTCCCTAGGGAGCTGGAAGGATAGTGGGGTCCCTACTGACACACTAGTACAGTGGCTGACAGCATCTCACTTTACTCACCCCCCCGTTATCTTTTTAAGTAAGTGACAGGCAAGCTCTAAACCCAGGCTCCCTATTCCAATGAAGTTCAGAACTTGGCTTCGGGAGCCAGACTGCTGGCTTCCAATTACAGCTCCACCAGCACCTGTGTAATCGTGGGGGAGTAACTAGTCACCCTCTCAGAGATGAGTGGGAGCTTTGATGACTTGTAACATCCGTGGCATGACTCATGACCCTGGGCCAGCTGGAGACAGGAGGTCGCTGCTGGAGCAGAGAAGCACTTCCCTGGGCCCCTTGTGTTGTCACTGTGGAAGGACATCCTAAAGTTCAGCAGGGCTATCTTGCGTGTGCTGGGAGGGGAGGGGGGGAGGCAGGGGAGGGGGAGAGTGTGCTGAGTGACCAACATGACCCGAAGGGCACATCATGTGGACTGAACCGCAGGCAAGCAACACTTCTGCTCCACCCCCCACTTCCTCATTGTAGAGCTGGAGAGGAAGAGGTCAGATAGGGTCTCTAGACTCCCTGGAGCTCTCCTTCCTACAACCTGCCCACCATCCTGACGGTGTACAGACTGCAGGTACCAGGGATCATAGCAGATACAGAGAAGATGGGTCAATCAGAGATGCTGGTTCTCAACCACTGAGCAGCTTCCACCCCCTACAGTCCGGAGCTTTGGGGACTTCAGTATGCCCTGTGCACAGCCAACCAAAGTCCCAGGTGGTGCAAATGGTTGACACTCAGCTTTTAATCCAAAGGTTGTTGGTCTGAACCAATCCAGCTAGCAGCACCCACCCAGCGCCATCATGCCATCTATTCTCATCAAGAGGGTGGCCAGAGGGGCCTTCTGGGGCTCAGCCCTACTCCAGTACCCATGGGGTGGCCCAGAGTCGGAATCTACCTGCTTTGAGTTTGATAAACAGTGAAGTCTTGGGAAGTACACACTGTTCATGTGCTCAACTACTAACCAAAAGGTTGGCAGTTCAAAGTCACCCAAAGGTGCTGGGTAAAAAATAAAAATGATAACTGGCTTCTTAAAGACACAGATATGAAAGCCAATGGGTCTGAGTCAGAATGGGCCCGATAGGGACTGTTCTGTAAGAAACAAGAGGAGGTGCCAGGATGAAGAACCCAGCCTGGCCACCTTCCACCCACATTGGCCACCCCGGGCTTGGACGGTCAACTCTTCACTGGGTTGAATATGTATGCAGGGCCTCGTTGCCAGACCCCAAGTGGAGTGCAAAAGGAGGCCCGGTGCTGTGCACATAGAGCCGCTGACCACAAGGTCGAATCCACCTGCGGCTCCGAGGCAGAAAGAGGAGGCTTTCTATTCCCATAAAGAGTTCAGCCTGGGAATCCCCAGCGGCGGTCCTGCTTCCTCCCTGGAAGGCAGCGAGTTTGGGTGCGCAGTGAAGACGCCTCAAGAATCAGGAGAGAGAACCAGTCCCGGCCCTCAAAGAACCCACACGTGTGTGCAGGAAGGACTGCCAGACAACTGCCAACCATTAAACCCCAAGTAAAGAGACAGACAGACAACCCAGGGGAGGTGGGAAGGGAAGGAAGATTTCTCAGCAAGATTCTTTCCCACCCCTTTCTCTTCTGCGTTCTTCTCCAGTCCGCCGCCGAGCTACCGGCTAAGCCTGGGGAGGAGGGTCAAAGCTAGTGGTAGAGTCCAGGCGGCCTCGCCACCCCAGACTCGGTCCACGCGGGGCGCTGAGAGAGGCAGGGGACATCACCCTCTGCTCAATGTCCCCGCGCAGCGCCCACGAGGGCGCCGCAGGTCCCAGTGCTGGGATCGGTGGCCCCGCCGCCGGGAGGGTAAAAGGGCAGGCGGCAGAGCCTCCCGGAGGAGGAGGAAGAGGCAAGGAAATTCGGAGAGAAGCATGAATCCCAGTGTGGCTGGGGGTCACGTACCCGGAGGCCCAAGGTGCCTGGAGAAAGAAATGGGGGGTAATGGAAAGGAGGGGGCAGGGGGACGAATGCAGAAGTGAGGACGGAGTGCAAATTAGGGAGAAGAGGGGGTGGAGAGGGTAAATCGGAAGCGCCCTGGGGTACACGACGTCCCCAGGGTTGGGTCCGAGTGCGAACAGCGACCCCACCAACGACGCCCGATGGGTCCACTCACCCCGGAGCCGCCGAACGGCTGTTGCGCCCCGCGCCCCGCCGCGCTCCGAGGGAAGGGGGTCCACGGAAAGTTCCAGGGGCACAAACGACCTACTCGAGGCCCCAGGGACCAGGCGGGCTCCGCCAGCGGGAAGCGGCCGGCGGTCTGGCGAGCGCCC